GCGCTCGTGCGGTCTCTGGGAAGGCAGCAGATCCCACTCTCACCATCTGGCTGGGGCCCTCTGCAAGGCAGGCACTTCCCAGGCAGCATCTCCAGGTTCTCCCTTCGAGCTGGGCAGGCAGAGCACGGCCTGCCTCACTCCAACAACCCCCAGAACCACGCAGACCTTCAAACTCATCACACCAGAACCTGCTGCGGAGGGCATTTCATCAACTCTGCTCGTTACCAACGTGTCCCTGAGCATTCTGCCAGGAACAGGCTGAAGCACAGCATTTCTGCTCCTGGCTGTTTCATTATGGCACAAGTGCTCAGCTAAGTGACTTGTCCCTAACAGAGACAAACATCCTGTTCAGCTGGAACTTCCTTGATAGCCAGAGCAGCAGGCAGGGACAGTCTTTTGTTCCTGTGACAACTAGTGAGAGCATGCCTGGCTAGGAATTTGATAAATTCTTGATTAAACATTAATGATCACAAGTGACAAGCATGTGGGACAGAGTTTGCCCAACTTCACCCAATAAAGTTCAAGCTTGTATATTCAATAAACTGATTTTTTTGTCCAGGTATTCTTCCTGTTACACACACAGTTATGACCATGGTGTCCTTGCCAAACAGCTCTGTGTTTTTTCTACCTGAAAACATCAATCTAATTCTCTATTCAGGCAGCCTTACTACACAATTATGATAAAATTGAGTGTTTTCTTTCCACCCTATAGAGAAATAATCTCTTGGCCTGTGGCTCCAAATCCACTCTCCTCTGTGTTTCATGGCTGTTTTTTAAACTGTATTTGTTACACTATGGAATTGATTTCGTGCCTTACAACTACTGCTGGCTTTGCCAGTCACTACACACGGTCACACTTAGGCTGGCAAATATTCTCTATCTGAAGCTGTAAATATAGATAAGTATTTTATTTTGAGTCCTTGAATATCACCTGCCTGGCACCCTGCAGCAATGCTAGGTATGACCAAAGCATCATAGCAAATAAATGCCTATTTCCCAATATTGCAAGTCATCCTTGTATTGTATGTGGTATGCACATTCAAGAGACATTTCATATTAACCTGTTACAAAGATAACTATCTGCAGCACTTTTCACTACCCAAAGTTTCAAGCAAAACGTCTCTCAGCAAAATGGAAACTCACCTCTCATTTTTGCAGAAGTACAACCATTCTTTTTTCCCCTAAAATGCATTTTAAGATCATAAAACTTTTTTTTCTTTTCTTCCTCTGATGTAAAAACAACTAACTTCCTTTCTCTACAGGCACTAGATTCAGACAGATGTAGCTCTGGATGACTTTATGCCCACAAGTCATAGTTTTAAGCAACTAGAAGTACACTATGACACAGAAATAATCTTGCTTTCTACTCTAGTGTCTTTAGGGCCAGTAGCAGGGGAGGTTTTCAATCCCCTTCCAGTGTGCAAACCCAACCAAAACCACATTTTTAAGATTGTGGATGTAGATGTTTCTTTTTGCGTTCAGGAAACCTGCCACCTTGCCATGAGATTTTTGCTAACACATAGTACACATAAAAACTTACACAGTACACTTACAAAGTACACATAAAATATTATAGTACACATAAAAACTTACATAGTACACTTTTGTAACACGTAGTACATATAAAGTCATACAAGATGTGCCTGCTTCAATCAGCACTACTTCCAGAAACTTGAAACTTTCATTCTGGGCTCCTACATGAATTTTGTATAAATTTAGCAATTATTATGACCAAAGTATCAACACTGAAACAAAGTGCTCCTTCAGACTGTTTGCTGTCGTTTGTTTAAAATATACTTAATTACAATACAATCTTAAAACTCTTAGATCAGTTCAGCCATGCAACTGCACATTGCTCTCAGTTAACAGAGAACCCCACTGCCTTAAACACACACCGTGCATAAGGTGTGCATTGCTGCTAACTGCCCACAGCTCTTCCCAAACTGGCTTCACCCCACGTCAACACACTCAGCTCCCAATGGAGAGAGCCCAGAAACACAGCGTTTCTCTGCTATCTACCCCAGCAATCATCAGTTAATCTCAGAAATTCTGCAATGTGATCCGTCTATTCCTCAACACATGATATTAAACCTAAGCAATAATGCCATGCATGAGTTATTCTTGCAGTGAGGCAAATCCTTCTCTGGGAGCCCAACTAAAAACTGGAGTGACATCTGCTGTTGTGCATGCAGTTTTAGAAAGATTCTTCATTTAGCAGCTATTTTGATTAAATAGACACAACACATCTTCTTATACACCTAAAACCAGGACATGTGCACTCACAGTCCCCTCAGAATTCTGCTCTTCTGGGACACACTCATATAAAGAACTCCTTGAAGAGGTTTTACATTCACAAAGACATCAAGTGCATACTGCTTTTATAAATTTTATTTTATGCCATATTTCAGTACCCAAAGGAGGGTTTTGCACAGCAGTTTTTGTTATTAGAAATCTAAACTAATTTCTCTGCTGCTTTGCTTTGGGGATGAGTTCTTTATTTGGAAAGAAAAAAAAAAAAGAGGAGACTGGATTATTCAATAAAGGGTTCAGGTATTCCACTTTCTTAGCATTTTGTATTATATTCTTCTACCTAGTTAGTTTCAAAGGTAAGAAACAGCAAGGGCATCTTCAGCTGTCAGAGCTATTACCCAAATAACCTTGTTTCAGCTGAAAACAACTTTCAATTAGAAATGTTCCCAGCTGTAGAACATTAACACATCTGACTGGCCAGACCAAACAATTTATGGAACAAAACAGAATAATTTATAGACAAATTCACAATTACAAGTAAAGCATCCTGACAGGACAGTTCAAAACCTGATTCAGCAAAGATATCTGGGTCAAACACAAACCATGGAAGGTCAGTGCAATGCTGATCACAACTACATGACACTTCAGTGGTGCAAGGACAGGCAGTTTCAGGACATGCTTCCCAGGATCGTGATTTTAAATATCCAAAAAGAACACAAGTAAAAACTGAAGATCTAATTCTCTTTTCCTCACTTCTGCTGGCAATCCCAAAGAAGAAACACATACAGCATACCAGGGGTAAGGTATGCAAAACCAAGTGAAGAATTTTCCTACCTTCATTAGTTAGTGAAAAAATATTTCATTGCTTAAAAATGAAGCAATGGAAAGCAGAAAAAGAGGAAAAGAGCTGGCATCAACAGGCAGCCATGTCACACAACTACTTGCTTAGCAGGCACAGTGTTGGTGCAGAGAAAATGTAAAAGTAAGTAAATTAAAACTCACTTTTTGGAGTCACCCTGTGGACTGCAGTTCATGTGATGGAGGGGCTGTAGGTCAATCCTGTCTCTCTCCCATGCTCGTGCCCTCAGGCCCTCCTGAGGAGCCTTCATGGCTGTGGGTAGGTGGTTGTACGGTGGGAGCTCCCTCATGAAGTGCTGCTGGGCCTTTCCCCTTTTCAAAGCCCCTGGGAAACGATCTCGCCTTGCCAGAAAGTGCCCAAATCCCCAAAGCTCCCCAGTCCTCCAGCACACCATCCACCCTTGCTTCTCCACAGGTGGGATCCATCTCTGAGGGGAGCAGGGCAGTCTGGCACAGCTGCCCTGCATAACCGCCATCAGGAACCATCGGCTTCAAACCACCCTTGGCAAAGAGGAGCCGGGATTTTCTTTGTCTGTACCTTTTCTGAGGTCAGATCTCCAGGGTGCCTGTCCCTCCTGAAGCACTCACTGCACAAGGAAAAACCCCATTTTCCCTGCACCTTTCCCAGGACTGGGCTTTGTTGAGAGCCCTAGTGATTTCCAGGTTTCATTAAACGCAGCGATTTTTCTGCACCCTCCAGCAGCCATCGTGAGGGCTCTCAAAATGGCGCCCGTGAGGGCTCTCAAAATGGCGCCCGTGAGGGCTCTCAGGAGTCCTGTGGGGAGCACCTGGCTCCAGCAGCCACCCTGCGCCTGCAGCAGCTCCCCTTAAACACATCTAAAAAATGGGCAAAATGCCACTTGGCAGCGAGGAATTTAGGGGAGAATAGTGGAAAACACAGCAGGAGAGCCTTATCTGGACCCAGGAGGTTTTTCATCCCATTTTCTCCCTCTGTTGAGCTGAGGCGTCAGCAAGTGGCTGGGCAGGTACGTGGCAGGTACGTGCCAGGAGGAATATTAGTTACACAGTAATAAATGAGGGTGAAATAGTTTTGCTTCTGGCTCTTAAATAAGTCACAAAGTCTTCCAAGAACTGAAGGTACCACAGTTCTACAATTCCCTGGAAAAACCATTCAGCCATTGCCCGAGTGCACCATCCATCAGCAGGGCCTGCACAGCCCACACGCAAACGGTGACTCAGGGTCCTTCAGAGTCATTGCCACAGATTAGGGAACTCGGTTTTCCCCAAACCTCACAGGTTTTTTATCAGGGATAACATATCAGTCCACCAATGTCATAAAGCCTTAAAGAGACTAAATATAATGGTTTATAAAAAGAGGGTTACCAATCAGGTACAGCTGTTGACATTGCAGTGCTGCCACACAAATGCTTAGCAGACATCATGTAATAGTATTAGGAAAAAGAAAAAAAAAAAAAGGCAGCTAGTATTTAATGTGTACCTGAAGAGAGCTGATGTTCTCCAGACAAAAAATAACAAGGACACTAGTAATCAGTTTCCAGAAGGCAGACACAAACAGCTGGGGCCTTCCAGGCACTTGATAAAAGCTTGAATAAAAGCTTTTCATGTGCAAGCAGATTTAAAAGCTCAAGTTTATAAAGATGTTTGCAGTAAGGTGTGAAAATAAAATGTGTTTAATGATTAGGTCAAGCAGCCCAATCCTGGAACCTGTTCTGCACTTAATTTTACTGGTGCCTGAAATAATGACATGGTGGCTCTACTTACAAACACTGTAACTACATTCCTGCTTCCAGCATAGAGAATTAATTTGTATATGCTTTTGAGCTTATGATGTGCAAGACTAATTTAAACCAGGCAATGCATACAGACAAAAAGCAAAGGTATTTCTTAACTGAGAATTTAATATCACAGTGTTACTGGTCAAAAAGTTATTAGTACTGTGCAACTTGTCCCTGCTGACAAACATAGAAATGACTTGTATTTACAATAATGGATAAAAGCTACTAATATTCTAGAACCACCCATTGTAATATGGCTTCTCAAAAAGTCTGGCTGGCAGATTGTAAGCATGCTGGAGGCAGTCCCTTTGCAATAAAGTCAGACTGTTTCTGCATCTTCAGAACAGCAGTAAATGCAGATCCAGTTAAAGTTCTTCCTATGACATGACTCAAAGATATTGATTTTTCTGAGATTGAAGAGTGTAATACTTACATGACTCAGATCTCATGGCACTGCTGAAGATGTGATAAATACCACATTTTGCTAACCAGCACAGCAAAATAAGGGCACAAGTAAAACTCAAGAGTACAGGTTTTGGGTAAGGTGTGAATTGTTTTGTACAAGCTCTGCTGTGCCTGTGATATTCCAAGCACTATTTTCCTTACAAGCTTTGACAGCAATCAATACCCTCCTTACTGGGACAGATCTAACACTGTAGCGGATGCTCAGCCTAAAAAACCCCAAACACTTGAATAAAAAAATAGAAAAAAAATATTTAAACCAACAAACCAGTGTTATGCCACCAATATAGTAAGGTGAAGCTTCCCAAAGTCACAAACCTGTTTCTGGCCTGTCTTCAAGGATTAGCATCACACAAACATCCACTCTGAACAGCAGAGCACAGACTCTGAAGACATGATACAGTAAGGATTGCTGATATGTCTGACATTGCTGATCTTGAATTCCAACCAAATGCCAAGGGGAACAGGAATAAAACCAGAGTGGCTTCTCAGAGGCATTACAGCATATTTCATTCTGTCAACTTTGAAACACACGGGGAAACCCAACCATTTTTGCACCCAAATTTTATTAGAAAACATCAAGTTCAAAAGTTACTTTATGTTGCTGTTAGATTGAGTCAAAATTCTTTTTACTTGGATTTTAAAAACTATCCAAAGTACTCCTCCTATGTTACCCCTCAAAGATGAGACCACACTAAACACTAAAGGTTCAAGCCTACTGTAGTACAACTGAGAACTGAACCCATACTGTCCATAAACAGCAGAGCAAGCTGCTTATTTATCCTTTTTAGTTATAGCAGGAGGCAAAAATTCATTGTTATTAAAGTTACCTATATATGAAAAAATCTTTAGTTCAGGTATAAATGATTTTTAGCTACTTAGCAAAAATAAAATTTAATTTTTTCAGCTTTTTACTCTGTGACTTTCTTTTTGGGGGAGAATAAAAACCATTGTCAGCTCTGATTCAAGACCTGTGATTCGACCTTCAGATACCAAGACAAAAGAACACTCACAACTGCTTCTGCTTGAATATTGTCTTAATTTTCACTTCACAGCTGTAGTCACTAAACTCAACATTTTCCACACTGCATAACAAGCTGCTATTATAGGAAGTCAAATAGTATAATTCAGCACTCTGGGTAGGAGAGTCATAATTAGATGAAGTACTACCAAGATTCTTCTGTGCCTTAAAATGTGCACCATCATTTCACTTCATTATTCCTGTTGTTTTCATATAGTTCACAGCATATGGGAGGATCAAGATATGAAAGCAGCCTTATTAGCTTTCAAACCAGCCTTCAGCAGCCTCCATTCTCAACCCTTGTAACATTCTTGCACAAGTCCCCAAAGTAAGCCTTACAGCACTGAAGCAATCATTTCAGGTCATAAAAAGATAAAGAACTTTAAATAACTTTTTTTTTTTTCCCACGGAGAAAATGATTACTTATGTTCTCAAAATTAAAAGAACTTTGTACAAAAGGCCTGGAAAGATCAGGTTTTAATTACATATTTCAAAACTGAGTTATATATAACAATTCTACTGCTTATATGCAGTAAATAAATATATTAAAATCTAAAGCGAGCAGGAAAAAAATAAGCAGACTAGATGACAACTGACCAGGATGTTTTCTGGAATTGCACCATGCATGATTTGTCCCTTGTGGCTGAAGACAAAGAGGGAGAAGAAAAGTGGCAAAGAAAATGAGCTTAAGTAAGAAAATGTAGCACCCTTTTTGATCTTGCATGCAAGCTGAGAATGAGAAAAAGTTTTGATCATTCAGTCTACAGTCTTATTTAAAGATCAAAACAAGTCTGAGCAGCTTAAAGCCTTACTTCATTAAAAGAAGCCATGCACAGTCAAAGAGTTAATTGAATGGTAAGTGGGACATTCTTGCAGCTTTGCTTGAATGATAGAAACTTCATTATAGACTGCCCTGTATTCCACAGAAGATAATCAAGGCCCATGCACAAAAGTTTTTTCCACCCAGTCTGCCATTTCTTTCCAAATCTTCTATTACCTACCTGCTACCTTAAGAGCTACAGGCTGAGATTTGTAACTTGCTGAATAAATTACATATATGAATTTAAATCTTTCACCATTTAGAAATAGAAACTGCATGTATATATGGTATATGGTGACAAAAACTTCAGGACAAAATTAAAAACAAGTGGCTCAAGGTATCTGCTAAGCTTTTTTTTTACCTACAAAATTAAAAATACCAGTGATTCAAGTCTCTTTAGATGTGTAAAGCTTTTGCTGAGACTGTATAAATCCTAATACATATTTTCTCAGCAAGTGAATCCATTTTTTCCATTCCTTTGAAGATGCCACAGAGCTAACCAACATCCAAAACTTTCCTTAATGCAGAGGGAACAGGTAGAACATTTGAAAATGCTTGAGAGCACAGCAGATTAACAATGAGAAGAGTATTCAATGGTCAGCTGTTGAATTTAAAATTTCTGTCTGCTGTCCACCCTCTAACCCATTCAAATATTTTAACACATTATACGTTAGCCTGCCTTCAATTCAGTGTTGTCTTGCTAAACAACACAAATCACGTTAGATCAGAGCTAATTTTGATCTTCAATTATGTATGAGAGATCCAAAATCAGGTTGGCTGTCTCCAGAGCTACTTGCAGGCCACTGCACTTGGCAGCAAAGCAATCCAGAACCCGGAGGTCAGCAACCTTTACTGAGGGCTCTTGAGGGCAGCCCTGCAAAACAGGAGAGCCAGACTGGCCTTGCAAACAGCTCCAGCTGAGGTCTTCTGTGCTACCACTCACCCCACAGCCACATTTTGAAACTAAACCTGACCACCTGGAGACACAGGGAGAACCTGGGGGAACAAACCAGCAGTGCCCATACACCACATCTGTCAGGACTTCTTCTCCATCGTGACTCAGAGAGCGAGCTACAGACTCCAGGGAACGGCAAAACCCCTCAGCAACCAATTGGTACTGTGTCTGAGAACAACCCAGGTCTCTGAAAGTGCTGGCAGGCAGGCTAGAACTCTAAAAAAGAAACCAGAACCAGGAAAGCAAAGTTGGAACACTGTTTCACAGAAATAATTTTAAGCATGTATCATACTGCTGCTTTTTTTTCCCCCCAAAACAGATGGTTCAGTTCTAACTAAAAAATGTTTCATTATTATCCCACAATAGGAAAGTCAAAGTGGAGTTCTGCATGATCATCTTTCAATATAAAAACTCTACATATTTTCAACACTTAAAAACATGCAGTTACTACAACAGATACTAAATTAAGATCAACAAGTACAAATATAGTGTTAAGTTTAAAAGATATAAATAAAACCGAGTGCTTCAAATAGACTCCTTATTTTATATTAGTAGTTAGCAAAAATGCCACATAAATCTAGAAAGAGACAAGTGTTTTACTGTCGCAGTGATTCTACATAAATTCTTGTTTCTTTAGTACACTAGGCATCTTTGAAACCCTTACACCTTACATACCTTGTGTCTTATGTATGAAGCCAGGTGAGTTTCTGTACAGCCCCCTCCTAATAATGCCAAAGGTTCCTTCACTGTTAACTGCAACACATGTTCTGCAGTTTCACAGACACGCTGAAAATCACAGGAAATTCTTGTTAGACATACCACAATTAATAGGATTTGTCCCCATTGAAAAAAACACTGAAAATAAAATTTTCAGTAATTTCTGGTAGAGATTCCATAAAGTTGAATTACACGTGGATAAAGCTGCTGAGAGATTTCCAAGACCATGTTCACTTAATGAGAAAGTCCCTTTATTTATCCACACTATGGAAAGGCAGAAATAAAAAGCTGCATTTTAATCCTTCTTTTTTCAAAACAGGTCTATATATAAAAAGTCAATCAGTATCAATGACACTTCCAGACCAACTGTTCAATGCAAAACAATGCTTGACTATCATTGCATGTGTTGCTGCTGGCTTTTTGCTAGGTAGTTTTGATTTTAATGTTCTCATAGATCAAGTAATGAAAATGAGAATATTTATCCAGCACTGGCCTCAAGAACAGGTGAAAGATGTACCTGTCCCTAAACAATTTCCTGTATTAAAACAGAGCCATTAAATGAACATGAGCACTTCAAGGATTTTGAAATTCTGGAAACAAATAAACTTAATTTTTGTACTGAAAAAACTATGTTTCTAAACTCAATGTATTTCATATTTCTCAGTATTTTTCCATTAAAAACATGACTTTCCAAGAAAATATTTGAAGAAAATCTACCTACCTTCAACTCATCCCATGCTGTTTCATTTCTGTTACAGAGTATCAGGCTGCAGATAACTGTGTCCTCAGGAATTAGATGTAGAAAATGCTTTGAAGCAAAACTCTCAACACACAAATCTTTCAAGCTGCCGTAACAGCCAGGAGGCAGCCAATGTATGGAAGCTATAGGCTGTGAACCTGTCAATTAAAAAAGGAGAAAACAGTATGTGGCAGCATCAGAACAGCTAGCTGATGCATTTCACAAAGCATTCACCTTTATTCCTCTTGGCTTTTAAAGTTATATACATTGTTCAATACCTGTCATTTCAATTCACAATGGAAATCACAGAAAGCAACACTTGTAGAGTGCAAGACTTGGTGGCAATTTGAGATTAAAGAAAGTAATTGTTTCATTTGCCTTGAATCAAAGTTTGAAAACAAACTGGAATTGGATATCCCTCATGCCACAAGCAGTACCACCTGTGGTATGCCACCATCAGGACCCACACAGAAGACCTAGTCACCTCGAAAAATGGTTTTTGGGCTAGAAAAGAGCAACTCTTGCTTGGTGGCTAAGGTAGAGGGAAATTAGAGACCCTCCTCTGCCATGACACCAGGCCAGCTCCCCTCACAGTGACAGCTGCAGGACGATGGAGGACAGCTCCAGGAGAACTGGCCTGTTACCTGTCACACGGCCCAGGGGCTCCATCAGGGACAGCCCAGCCCTGTCCACAGCCACGACACCCTGCTCCTTCAGGAACTGCTTCAAGGAGGGATGCATCACCTTCTGGCACACCACAAGGCCCACCTCATCCTTAACCAGCTGCTTCCCCACATTCAGCAACTGATTCAGCTCCGACACTTCCAGAGAAACTCCATGATGGACTGCTATAGTTCCTTCCTCAGGGTTAGAGCCATCCCCTGACATGGACACACTGAAAAGGGCAATGCTGATCATGTTTGAACCGGTCCTTTTGACAGCAAGTGGTTTTCCCAACTGGATTTCTGGCGCTTCTATCAGCAGTCCAGGAAGGACTGTAGAATCCACAACTCTTCCACCTTTCACAGGTATTACCACACACTTCCCTAAAACAGCATTAGTCTCAACGTGACGTGGAACAGTAAATATAAAAGCCTTTAAAACCAGTGAGGTGAGATGATCAACTTCAGTTTTATTAAGCATGCAAGCAGGTTTGCTTGTTAAAATGCTCCGAACCAAACAAACAAGGGTCTCAACACTGCTAAAATCCACAGACACCCGGCAACCACAGGCCTCAGATTTCAGGTGGTCCATGCACAGACTCAGAAGATGCTTGCTTATTTTAATGACAGTAAAAGGTGCAACATTCAGGCTCCTGAAATTTTCGATGAAGCCACAGCAAAGGATGGCAGTGAACAAGCCACAGTCACTGAACCGTGACACGTGGTTCCGTACAGAGGCTGTCAGGACACGCAGCACGGGCTGGCTGAGGGAAAGGTGCCCCAGGAGGGCTGAGGACTGGGAAGTGGTACAAACACAGCCCCCCACACCATTGTGGAGCTGCTTGAGTCGACCAGCAGGACCGTAGGAAGATTTTAATATCCCACTCAGCAGAGACAGCGACTGACTCACTGCATCTCTAGTTAGCGGCTCACTAATAAATAACGGAGGCTTTTTAGCTTCAAGGCGAGACATTCTGAAGATAAGATTTTAATTCTAGCCAGAAACACATTTCATTTTTACTTGGATCTATAACTCATTGCACTTTTAAATTTTAGTAGTACATCTTAATTCTTTGCAGGCAAGGATTATTATTTTCAGTGCAAAACAGTATATTTAACATTCCTGAAACTACTCATCACAGCTCTCTTAAAACGAGGCTTAAATCATGTTGCAAAACGGAAAAATAGTGACAGCAGGAAGCTATTTCATTATGGACGATCTCTTCTGGCTTCTGAATGAGATTGAGCAGACTTTTTCGCAACAAAATTCACAAGCATGCTTCCTATATGAACACCTATAAGTGACAGTCCTGCTACAAGCAGAAAGTTCTTCCTACTCCAGGAAGTTTTCTTCATCTTTTCTGGCAACAGACACAGATGAAAACCTTCAAGCTTAGTTATACCTACAATAAAAACCAGAAAGATATTAGAATAATTGTTGGAATACTAAGTCCGAGTTCTAACAAAAAATCTTCTAAAAATATTGTATAGCTTGACCTATTTTAGTTTTCACCGGAAAAAGTCACAGAAGGACAAATACTGCATCAAAAAATCATTTCGGTTGGAAAAAACCTTTGAAGTTGAGTCCTGCTGTTACTCCAGCAGTGCCAAGCCACCACTGAACCACATCCCCAAATGCCACATCTGTGCACCCATTAAACACCTCCAGGAATGGTGACACGGCCACCTCCTTGGGCAGCCTGTGCCAGTGCTTGACAACCCTTCCTGTGAAGGCAGTTTTCCTAATATCCAATCTAAACCTCCCCTGGTGCAACCTGCAGCCATTTTCTCTTGTCCTAGCACTTGTCACTCAGGAGAAGAGCCTGACCCCCAGCTGCCTGCAGCATCCTTCCAGGTGTTGTAGGAAACAATAATAAGGCTGCCTTGAGCCTTCTTTTCTCCAGGCTGAAGACCCCGAGCTCCCTCAGCACTGCTCCCAGGAGCACTGCCCTTCTCAGGACTCATTCAGTAGCTCAGTGTCCCCCAGCAGTGCCGAGCACAGGGGACAGTCACTGTCAGCACACGCTGGCTCACGTTCAGCTGCTGTCACAGCATTCCGAGGAATCTCTCCAGCCACTCTTCCCTATAACTCAGCATGGGGCTGTGATCCCAGTGCAGGACACAGCACTGGGCCTGTTGAACCTCCACTGGCCTATGCATTCTATAATGCTTTTTAACTGAGAAAATCTACTAATATGATTTTACTACAAACACAGAGAGTGCATCAATTATACCTGTTTATCAGTAACTTCAATTCTGACCACTGGTCTGTACTCTTACCAGCAGGTCTGTAAGTAGCAGGCTACCATCAACTTCACTGAAATCCCAGAACTACAGCAATTTCCAGCTGATTTTACACAAGAACAAAAGAACTCAACTAGTCAGCATTGCTTGCCAGGCAACAGAAACAACAGCTTTTGATGTTCAAACAACTACAAGAAATCTGGCTCAAACAAAGGTTTCTTACTTCAAGAGGCCCACAAAGAAAGCTTTTCAGTTCTTACAACAGTAAAACTTAAGTCAATGCTTATTTACGTTTCTATGTGAACTCTACAGTATTTACACTTGTACTTCATTTTGCTTCATTCTCTGCTGTAATCACCATCCCTACTAACACAGAATATGTTAATATGTACAGTCACAATTATTTCTGGGCAGTTTTAAGCCTAAAAGGACACGGTTATAGATCCAGTCTCATGAGTTTGACTGCTGTCCTGAAGTTACTGGAGCTTGTTTTAAAATATCTTTAAGACATATAATACCCTCACTTAATTGATCTCATTATGTGGGATTTAGCAGTAGTTTCTGAGACTTATGATGCACTTTTTGGGTCCATGTAGGTACAAAAAATTAACTCAGTTGCAAAGGAGGATAAAACTCCAAAAGACTAAACTCAATTAATTAATCTTCTCCCTCAAAGACACAGATATAACTAATTAGGCAACTTACCCAAAAATCAATGTACTAATGCTATTTTTCTTTACTTTTGCGAGCGGTTTGCATCATGAATGCCAGAATTTCACGGTCTGGAGAAAAATCCTCTGTCTTCACTTGGAAAATAGGACTGGACTTCAAGTAATACCAGCCCCAGTGCACTAGCCCCAGGCTAGCTCCCATAACAATCAGAACTTTGTTGTCCTTCCAGAAGGTTTTAAGACCCATTGCAAACTGGCATCTACCTAGGTAAAGATAATTTATTATTTTAAACATATTCTAGAAATCCTTTTTTTCTTACTCTACAATAACAACACTGAACAGATGAAGCTGAATGTTAATACCTTCAATTGCAGTGCAGCAGATGACTAAAACACTAAACAAAAAAGCCTTACTTTGTGAACCAAAAAAAAAAAAATAACCTCAATTCAGACATTTTGAAATGTTAATTGCTGCATTTGCTTCGAGCTTTGGCGTGCTAAATCTTAAACACAACAAAGCTTTATCTAATTACAAGCACTACTGCCCAGATGGTAAGCATCTGAAGCCCAAAACCAGGTTCAAAATACACCTTCCCCCTATAGTTAATAAAATTCAATGAGTAGCTAGGCTCCTACGGCAATGCAGAACTTTGAAATTGCAGGCAAAGCAAGGTGTGAAGCTTCTGACACCACTTTACCATTGTGCAGCTTTGCCTGACCACCTTATAGTATTCAGAAGTGGCACCATTACAAAGAGAGCAACAAATTAATCCTTATGTAATGAGAAACTGGAAAAAAAGTATTTTTCATGGGATTTCTCACGGACACTCATGTTTTATACCAAAATACCTCACTGGTTTGAGCGGCTACAAAGCTGTAACTACTCGGAGAGGAAATGCTCCCACAGCCGGCCCAGCTCCGTGTCCCTGGCAGGTGTAACCCGCCCCACCAACCACCCCTCCATCGCGCTACGGAGCCCTCACAGCCCACTCTTCCTCCTCCTCCTTCCCCGGACCCAGCCACCTTGAGGCGCGGGCAGCTGAGAGGCAGCGGCGGCTGAGGGCACAGACCGCGGGCACGGCGCACCTAAGGCTTCTCCCCACCCCGGGAGCGAGCGAGCGAGCAAGGAAGGTGCTACCGAGGAGCCTTCTCAGAGAGGAGAGCACTCGCCCGGCCCTCACACGTTCAAACGCGCCCCAGCAGGAAGAAGAAGCGCTGAGGGAAGCACGGCCCCGGACGTGCCGCGCCGCCCCTCGCGCCCGCCATTAGCCGCGCGCAGCGTCACAAGCGCGCGGCCCGCCTCAGGCGCTGGCGGCCATTTTGCGTGCGGGCAGCGCGGGGCGGGTGGTGGCGACGGGCGCGGCCATTTTGGGTAGGGCAGAGAAGCGGTGGGAGGCGGGCACGGCGTGGGGAGGGGTACGGCCACGGCTACTTAATGCCGCCCGGTTGTAGCGGTCGCTCCTTGGGCTCTGGCTCCGCTCTTCTCCTCGGTCAAACATCTGAGGGGAGGCTTGGACAGCCGGGACTCTAGCGGCGGTACTGGCTCGCTCCCACCGAGCCTGCCTCAGCCTCCGGCGCCGCCTCAGCCGCTCTGTCCCGTTCCTCACCCCGCCCAGCCTGGCCAGGCAGAAAAATACGTGTATATATCTCTGATTTTTCTTCTTTGCATACCTGCTACTGTAGCCACTCCGCCTTACACCTTCGCCCAGTTGTCTGAGGCTTCCTGTGGGCGGGCAGAAGTGCCCCGGCCAAAACAAGTTCAAATAACTTTGTTCCCTGACCTCCGCTTTTCCTTAGCTCTTCTGCTTTCCTGTATTCACTTTTCCTGTATTCACTCCTGTAAGTACAAGAAATGCTCCTGTGAATACAGTTATACTTCTCCTGTGTTCACTGTTCTCTCTACTCGTGTCAAGGATATCTCGTTTTATATTCATTTGTTAATGAATGGGTTTGTTTTCAATTTCGTTTATAGTTGCAGAGTTTTAGACTGTAGCCAAAGGACAAGTATTTAATGCCTGATCTTCATGCAGAAAGGAATATAATTTTTTAATTCTATAGTAATTTTTCATTGTTAATTACATTCAGCTGTTCCACAAAAGTTAAAAAAGATAATAGTACCTGTTGGCGGCCCTCTGGTGCTCCTCAGAACCTCTCCTCCCTATAGTTCTAGGCAGTTCTGCGGTGCCTGGGTCATGTTTTGGAAATTGCCTTATTGAGTGTTAAAGGTGAATGGGCAGTTCATAAATGAAGGAGTGTGAATAACAATGAGGAGAAAAGGCGCTGACTGGCTGGAGAGTATTTTTCAAGGGTTAAGTGGGGTAATTGGCAGCAGTGGGCATAGAAATCCTGAATAGCAAATGGGAAGATTGTGGTGTGTCTTTTCAGCACTGGGGATGCTTTACTAGATGTGTGAGTAGCTGAGCATTGCACTGCTCACCCCAAGCTTAGGATCCAGTCCTGGAAACTGACCAGTGCTGGACGGGAAAGTTTTTTTTATGTTGTGATAGTTCATTTCATACTACAAAAATAGTTAATATCAACTTACCCTACAGAGTTCCTTAGTGAGCATTTGTTTGTTTCTGCCGTTCTCAGGTGCCCCCTCTCCCCACCCGGGGATGGGCAGTGGGTGAAGCTTGCTGCTGTATCTCCAAGTGTGTGCCAGGAGTTTTCAGTTCCTCCTCCCTCTGAGCTCTGCATTTCTCACCACAGGAAGCTGCTTTGCTAAGGTAAGATGCTGTTCATCAGCTGGCAGAGGACACCTGAGCTTGCTCTCTGGGTCACTGTGTTTTCTGGCTTCTCCTGAGTACCCACCGCTCCATTTGACTCAAATTTAGGAAAGAAGGATATTCTGCCACATTATTTTTAAAGTGTGTCTCACTCTAGCTACAGGCAACCTATGTGTTTGATTCTAAATCATATCTTCATGCACAGGTTGTATCAACATTTTAGGCCTTGGAGTACTACACATCCCACATCAGGACTTGTTTTTTGTATACACATATATATATATATATGTGTGTGTGTATATATAGTCTTGTGAGGAGTTTTTCTGCCATATTTGCTTGTCTTCATATGTCCTTATGTGGCGCTTACTTCAGGTTTGCAACACAAAAAGCATTCCATGAGACAGAATCTTGCCATCTAACAGTAGCAGTTGTAACAGAACTGTGTTTTTGGTGCTTGGTGTTTTTTTAAAACACAGGAAATGGCAAAGTATTTTGGGGCTAGTTGTTTTTTTCCTGAACAATTGATGAGTAGTTTTCCCCATCTTCTGATGCCTTAGTATTGAGTATTTTTTCACCTGTGTCACTTCAGTGATTTCCCTGATGGTTCGCACATAAAATATTTTCCTTTTTGTGTTCTGTGGATTTGCTTACATTTTGTCTGTCTGCTCTATTTCCTTTGTCTTATCTGTGTGGTCAGTGCAAAGAATGGGGTAGTTGGCAAACTCCCAAAGTCAGCTTACTCCCAGGAAGAGCAAACTGAACCAAAACTAACTTTTCTTGTGCATCCTTTTCCTTTTTATGTTTTTCTTCTATTATTTTGTAAATTGTATTTGGAGGGAATTGCTGCCTGCCAGCAGTTCTCACATGAGTAGTAGCAGACATGTTGCAACAGTATTATTCTGGAAAGTAAATTGCTACCAGAAAGAAATGAGTGATGCCAGGGTAAGTTCAGCTGAATTTACTACATGACTGAACTGAACTGGGATGTTTCAGGTGGCCCAGAGCTCTGTTCTTTCCATTGCATTTCTCAAAATTGCCATCAGTAAAGTTGTCAGGATTTAATCTGAAAACATGGAGACGTTTCCAGGGCTGTTTGGTGCAAGGAAGAATGATAGCAGCATGGCACAAGGCATGATGGTATTCCAGCTTCTGTGTGCAGGACTGTTGGGGATCTTAAGATTAAAATCATCTGTGCTTCACCGTTTAGTTTTAAAGTGGGTGTTTATCTTGGTTTGCACTTTTTTGAAGTCAAACAGTGATAACAAGTGCATTTTGAAACATATAAGCGTAGTGCCTGACAGAAACACATATCCCCAACCTGACTTAGGTCCTGAAATTTGACAGCTCTCTCACAGTACTTAATAAATTGAAGTATGCAATGGGAAATGTGTACACATTCCTCAGTTTTTAATGGTATCACTTAGGATCCCAAATTAAGTGATTTAGGTCCTGTTTGGGATAAGCAAGGGAGGAGGAAGTCCAAAGTTCACTTTACTTTTGTGCAACCACCATAGGAGTTGGGTTATGCTGCTTTATGTGTGTAATATAAAATTTTAAATATACATAACGTGTATGGATGGATACCAGGTGAGCCAAAAGCTATAGCTTCTTACTTGAAATAGTTCTAAGTTTGTGTTTTCTGTGTTGGATGCAAAGTGCCTCCAAAGTTATGAGGCTGAATTAAAGAAACCAACACAGGTAGCTAAGTAATTGTCCTTTAAATAAGAATTTTCCTTGTTTTCTTAAAAACAGAGTGTAGGGTTTGAAGAACAATAGTCATGAAGGAAAGGGCCACAGATGTGAAATTCATTCTCAATTGCTATAGAGATCACTTTTAATTGGTTTTTTTATAGGACCAGCTTACACTGACCTATCATGGCATCCAACAAATTTGTCATTAAGGTAAGCAGAATGTCAAGCTTTAAAAAAAATAATAAATCTGTAATACTGCCTAGAATGTGTCTGTTGATACTAAAAGTGCATCCTTCAGGTTTCTGGTCATGGTAGCATAGCTTATATGAGCTTTTCTCTGCCTCTGGAAGCAAGCTTGGAATTGCTGCTGTATCATGGCAGAGTGTGTCTGGGGTCAGCTGAGGATGAAAAGGCTGTAACTAAAAGTGATTAGTTGTGCAGCAAGAATTAGAAACTGCATGAATTCTCAATAAAACACTATTTTGCTACCTGAAGTAAAATTTTGGGTGGATTCTTTTCTTACTGTAATCTTGTAATGCTATTTATGTACTTCCCAGTTCTGAGGGTTCCTGGTTTAAGTTGTAGCAATGTTCTTAAAGTATTAATTTATTTGTCTCTTTTCTGTCTCTTCTTCCATTTTCAGGGATTGATTGTTTCATGGGCAATAAAATGCTATTGAAGTTCATTTTGTAAACAGTCCCAGACTTTTAGTTGTGAGCTGAAGAGCAAAACTTCTCAAAACATTCTGTAATAAACATAACACTTCATAATTCTGCTACTGTGACTATACTAGCTAATCAATAAATAAACCTAATTGTGATTAGCACAATATATTATTCTCTTGGAAGTGTTTTTCCAGGAGTTTTCATAACACAACAGATTTTTCTTCTGTGGGTATGTTTGGAATTTTTTGGAGGGCAACTGCAAAATCCTTCCTGAGTGATCAGGCTGTGGAAGCTGTCAAAGCTTGGTTTTGTGGGTAACCAACCTGTTTAATGAGAAGACCAAGCACTTAATTTTTTGTGTGCCGCGTGTTCTTTTCCAAGGAAAACCACTGTCATTTAGTGGCATGTTTGCTTTATATTTTTACTGTTTAACAGGACTGTAAACCTCTGGAAGGTTAACAGTATCATGTTATTCACTGCTGCTGAGTTGATAGAGGGACTTAGAGGAGAAATATATTTGATTTTCAGCACATTTTAGCTGATACTCTCAGTCTGTGCACCACTGATGTGGATAACAGCAGGAGCCAAGGCTGAAGGCATTGCTTTTCTCAGCTGAGAACTCTTGATATCATCAATATTCATGTAAGTGCCCAATAAAAAAAAGTGGTGTGAGTTGGCATGTCTTTACTCAATATAAAGCCTGCAGACTCTTGGTGTCTGACCTGCATCATTACAGCTTCATTATTCAGCAAGGATGTGTAACTGGTATTCAGCATGGACCTTGCGGTCGCTGAGTTTAGCATCCCTGACTGCCTGAGCAAGGGCTAGGTTCTCACTGAGCATGTCTGTAGGTAAGAGTACCACAGATAAAGCTTTTGAAAATTATAATAGAATACAACTTTTTCTTTCTTACAGTATCTGAGAAATGAGAGTAAGTTTTTAAGTTTTTGCATGTACCAAATGCTGAAAATTAACTTTACCTTGACCTGATTGAAATTCACTTTGTGCACAGATTAACATTTTACTTGTTAGGTCACAGATTTTGTATGTCAAGTTTTGCTTCTTTAAATACACTGGATTTGTATTTCATGTGAATATTTTTTTAAGACTTTTCAGCTTTCAGGTAAGTTTTGCACAGAAGATCTCCATGCAATAGATTCTCCATTAAAAACTATTTCCTGCTTGTCACTGCAGGCAGAGTACAGAGAATATTCTTTATTTTAGATTCCTTGTGTTTAAAGCTGATGGGAGTATTTTACTGAGTCTGAAAATGTTCAGGACAGATGTGTTGGAGCAAGTCCACAGGAGGGACATGAAGATGGAGCCCCTCCCCTGTGAGGAAAGGCTGAGAGATTTGGGGTTGTTCAGCTGGAGAGGGCTTCAGGGTGACCTAATTGTGGCCTTCCAGTACCTGAAAGGAGCCTACAGGAAAGGTGTAAAGGGGCTGTTTCCTAGAGCATGTAGTGACAGGAAAAAGGGCAATGGCTTTAAACT